TTTGATATGGGCCATTCTCACCAGTATGAGATGGTATCTCATTGTGGTCTTGATTTGCACTTCTCTAATGATAAGTAATGGTGCACATTTTTTTCACATGCCTGTTTGCAGTTTATATCTTTGGAGAAATACCTGTTAGTTTTTCTGCCTATTTTTTTGATTGGGTTATTGTTTTGTAGTTTTAGGAGCTCACTGTGTATCTTTTATTATATTACTACTACATTTTTAGATCTCTTACAGGAGTAACAAATATAGCACATTTGCATGGTTTCTGGCATAGTCTTACTGCCTTTGTATCTCGAACACTAGCTAGGTGCCCACAGTTAATTTGTGTATCCCATTTTTATTATTCCAAAGGAATCCTTAATTTGGCCTTCACATGTCAATTACTTTGGAAAACACTGCGGTTTGCTGGTATACTTCAAAACAAGAAAAACTTGGAACCCATTCCCAATGTTCTCATTCATCTAGTTTCTACTGTTTCTGTGTTTGATGGTCCTTCTATTTTGATTCAAGCTACAAGGATTCCTACTTTTTTAAGAAGTTGGGAGGATACTGTCATATTCCTTATTTTCAGCTAGTCACAGAGATGAGAAACAGAAATCTTTAGTGTTCCACCTAAAACTCTGAAGCTCTCTAGATTATATATACTCCCATACATCTAGAGATATGTGCATTTTTCTTAAGAAAAATAACTTACTTGAAAGACTAAATAAATGTCTTAAGTTTTTGGCATTAGCACATTATGACCCAGGCCTCTCTAATGGAGCTAATTTTTTTTTAAAGATTTACTTATGGATACAAGAACTGAGGTACAGGCCAGAGGTGTGGTGGGAGAGAGGATTCACCAGACACTGAGTAGGGAAAAGAACAGGCAGATAGACAGAACTACACTGCTGAGGAAAGCAGCGGGTGAGTCAGAAGTCTGCTGCGCCATGTGGGTTGCTCCCTGGCTGGGGATCGAATTCGTGCTACAGTGGCCGTGGACAGCCTCATAAGTTTTGTCTTAACCACTTGTGCCACCAGGGCAGCCTGGATTGTGATTTTTAAATGGAGACAGTCCCTACCTCTGCTAAACTGGCTAATGAAGCCAACTGTGTTGAAGTTGCATAGTTTCTCCTTCTGCACCAAGTTTAGCCCTTGGCATGTAAAGATATCTCATTAGATGATATATAATCACGTTCAAAATTGTATCTTAGCCTCTTTTTAATCCATGCTATTTTTAATTTAGTTTTACATAGTCATAAATGCATGCCACTAGAGTCAAATAGATGAATGAGGTTTTTATTAAACATCTCTCTTCTCAGAAGTATCTCTCCTACTTTCCTACCTGTTTAATTTGATTTTATCACCATATTGTCAAATAACAAGTTTATAGTGCTACTTCATGTTCTGTCAGCTTTACCTATTATCTCTGACTTTTCAATTTTCAAAATAAGGAAGGGTTATAGGTAAAGCTGGAAATGTATGAAGTAGCACCATAAGTGCATATAAAATGATTTGGTATGAGTTCATAGGTTTTATTACCATTAATGCATATGGAAAAAAATTTAAGCATTCCTATATCCCCAACATAACGTATCAAATCATACCAAATTGGAATGCTCTATTTTGGGATAGTAGGGTAGGCCTGTTTAAGTGCTAAGTGGGTTCTTTTCTTTTGATTACATTTCCATAATGGTTAATGATGCTCACATGTTTTCATGTGATTCTTGGCAATTATTATATCTTACTTAAAGAAGTGTCCATTCAGATCTCTTGTCCATTTTTTTATTGATTTTCTTTTTATTGAGCTGTTAGAATTATGCCCATGATTTCAAAGTTTTGTATTTTTAGTTCTTACGTTTAGGTCAGTGATGGAATTTGATTTGATTTTTGTACATATGTGAGGTTGTACACCTGTATTCTTTTGCACATGGTTGTTCAATTGTACCAGTGTCATTTGTTGAAAAGTTTTTTTTTTTTAAAAAACTTTTCTTTCTCTACTGAACTGTCCTTAATACTTATAGGCCAATTCCAGAGAACAAACTTTTATTCTTCTGAGGCTCAGGAATGTGTCCCAGGAAAAAAGGAAGAGGAAATCTCGGCTTCTGAAAAGATTTTCAACCAGTTCTTATGTAATCAACAAGTTTTCATTTTCAGAAGTAGCTGGTATATTAAAAATGGGACTCTTCAAGGTATTTGTAATACAAAATAGAAAATAGATTATCTTCTGATAATTAGCAGAGTAGGAATTCAGAAAGAATTCAGTCATCTGGAGACAGTCAAAGTCCTGTTTTTCAACTTCTAAGATTTTGTTGTTATTGTCTCCTTTTCCTTTTTGTCAACTAGGCCTATTTAAAAATAATAACCACTCTTCATGTTTCATTGGGGTTTCAGAAGGTAAACGCAAGTATTCAAGCTATCAATTTGAATCAGACATCTTTTAGTTTATTTTGAAAGGCTAACAAGTCATTTTGAAACTGAAATTAGAAAATTTATAGACATAGAGTAATTTCAAGCAAGAAAAATTTCTCATTTCATTAATAACTATTAAAAGATGCTTGACAAGTGGTACCATGAAAAGTCTCATTGCAAGAGATGATCTAAACATCATTTTGAAGGATCGGTTATTCTACAAAAGAAAGTGTAGCATTCATGAGCATAAGCAAAGACAAAGAGCTACATTTGCTTCACTGGATCTTCTTCCCTTGTTTTTTCAACAAAGATCTAACACCAGGCCCTAAACCCAGCAAGGCTGAAGTAATTACATCCACTTCTTTAATTTCAGTTAATATGAGAATAACTCCATATTATGACAATAATATGAGAATAACTCCAAAACTTGCTTTCTTCTTAATTTTCCAGAACCAAATACTTCATGTGACCCCATCAAAAAATCAAATTCATTATATATGAGCTACTGTCAAGTCACTCTGGTCCCTAAACCACTTCTGCTTTCTGTATTTTCAAGACATCCCATCTATCAAGTAAATATGCCAGCATATATTCTCTGGATCAAGTTAAATCTTCCAAATTTCTCCTTTTACCCCACTATTTCCAAGAAATACGTAACTTCCCAATGAGAAGTGATAATGAATGCTCGGTGATTTTAAGCTTTACACAGTCATTTTGTCTTTAGCAAGAGTTTTAACACTATTAAGAGGACAAAATAAGCAATATAAAACCAAACTAATCTACATCACTGCTTTCTCATCCTCCTTCTTAGAACATACATTGTAAAGGCATTCATTTTCTTATTATATAACTGTTTAGCTTTATGTCTAGGGATAATTATGGAAGTTTAAAGGTGTTAAACAGAAAAGTGATACAGGGCGAATACCATCTTAAATTTCAAACTTCACTCGCTTAGTTGCAGGCTACAATATTTAATAAGTTTATTCAAGCCACCATTATGCAACCATCTTCCTGAAGCTTACTTGTGAGCAGAATATAAACCAAATAGGCCACTTATGATCCTATGGCAGTTATTATCCTCAGCATTATAAACCAAAAAAGGTCGATCACTATTCTCAGCTATAAATCAGAACAATCACACTTGCTAGGTTAAGGCAAAAAGAAATCATCAGAATCCAGTTTCCTAGAGAGTCATGCTTTACGTTAATACCTTGTTGATACCTAATCCAATTAATTACTTTGAGGTAATGTATGATACAGTGGTTTTTATGAAAGTATTCTTGCCTTAAATTTCAAACTTTTGAAGATTTGCAAATATGTCACTCATGAACACATACTAGACAGCTTGGCCACAAATAAAAACCCTTTTTTATGTCCCATGATTACAGAATGCTAGTTAGCTCATGTATGCACTCCTCCCCTCCAGAAAAATGGGGGAAAAAAAAAAGCTAATGAATTAATAAAATCAGTATAATTATAAGAAACAAAGAGTATGATATTATTGATTTCCAAAAAGAGTATGATATTATTGAGTATGATATTACTGGACAATTCTACTCTCTAATGTTTAAGAAAGAAAAAAACCATGGGAAGGGGAACACCTTAGGGGTAAGGAAAGCAGTATGAATCAGTAAAAACTGGCCTTCCGAGTCACAGGACCAACACTGGGAAAAACTAATTTAAAGAGTATATATATATCATCTCTCTATTTTTTCCTTTAGTTAGAATATGTTTTTATTCCCATGTTACAGATAAAGAAATTTAATCTCCTGTACAAAGCCACAAAGATACTAATAGTTGGGCTGGGAATTAGAAGTACTCTGTCTCAACAGCATAACTACAGTATTTGAAACAGCAGACTGGAATTTTTTTAAACTGAGGTGTTGCTGATAGAACATTATATTAACTTCAGTTATACAACACAACAATTCAATATACCACCAAATGATCACCATATTAAGCTAACATATGTCATCTCATTTTAAGGAGCTCTAAGGGTCATCAAAATTGCTACACATTATCCAAAATGTTCACTCAATTTTTACAACAAAGGCACACTATTCCTTTCAAAGCACATATCATAACAAAAATCTACTGAGTATCAAATGATATGCCAAGCACCACAGACATACACAAATTAGATAGTTCCTGGCCTAGAGTAGTCAAAATCTCTTGGACAAATGTGTAAACAACAATATGATATACTAAAAAGATAAAATGACAGAAGCACGTATGAATGATATCAGGTCACAGAAAAATATCTAGGGCTGCCTGGTGGAGTCAGAAGACTATGTAGCAGAGGTGATGATCTTGCAAAGGAGTAAATGGAGAGGTGATTAAGGAGGAAAATACTGCTGATATCAAGGTATCAGCATCATACAGGGTAAATATTCAATGTCCAAACAGTAAGACACAGATGATGCTCAGGTTCTATAGTACTCTTTTTGATATAAAATAGATTAAAAGAAAGGAACAAACACACTCTATATAACTACAGAGTAAAATATTTTAAGGTATAGACAGACTGACTTATGTAATTTTAGAACCGAACACCATATGTTCTAGAAGGGAAAGGAAAAAAAAAGAGCAAAGCAGAAAATTACCTCCTTTTGTGGTATCATTCTGGGCCTGGATGCCATGATGCAATGAATTATGAATGGCAGAAAGAAGATCTGCTGCTTGAACCATCAACTTTTGAGCTTCTGCAACAGCACTGGTCTAGCAAACAAATCACCAAAAACATTCTTACATATTCTTTCACTGAAAGATATACATTAAATAGGAAAATCCTATAAACAATAATGAAATTGTTTATTATAATGACATTGGTTTTCACAACCTATTTACATAATATAGGATGCACAGATCCTATTAGGATATTATTTTTTTTTACATCTATTTCTTGTAGAAGTTGTTTAAAAAAAGGGAAACATTTCTTATTTAGTTATGTTAAAAAAAATTCTTATATTTAAAAAAAATCAAAAACCAGAAATTTTCAACTGAAAAATTTTAATATTTCTACTGTGTCACTCAAGGTAAAAAAGAGAAAACACAAAAAATAGAATTACAGAAGTTAAGACAATAATAAAGGTTGGGTCTTTAATCATAAACTAGTCTGTAATTGTCTTAAGTTACTGCAAATACACACAAGAGAAAAAATACTCATTATCTAGGGTTTACATTTGGTTCTACACAAATGCAACAGTTAACTATTTAACTGAATGAAAGAATTCTCATTTTTCACTTTCTTCTCTGTAATCCACAAAGTAAGACTACACACATGAATTCCAGCTTTTGTTACTTTATCCATTAAAAAGCAATATAAAATACTATTTTATATCAAGCGACAGGTATGTTATTTGAGCAGAAGGTAAAATTCAGGACTTTTTAGAAAATCATCAAAGCTACTCTAATGCAAATATACCAAATGCTGAGTGCTCTGTATGTGCAATTAGAGACATTAAAAAAGTAGCAGAACTACTTCAAGAAAGCTTTCTAACAAAGCAAAACACTGAAACAACAAATTAACAGTAAATGCCCTTACCTCTTTCTTAGTAAAGGCTATAAGCACTGTCAGTAACACTCGAGTAAATTTCACTCTGCTGAACACTGCTAAACATTGTTGATGCTTAAAAGAAAAAAAAAAAAAAAAAAAAGACTAGAAGTTAAAAGATGCAATATTGGGTCTCCCTGGTGGCACAAGGGGTTGAGCGCAGCGCTGTGAAGCTGTCCACAGCCTCTGAAGCGTGAGTTCGATCCCTGGCCAGGGAGCAACCCACATGGCGCAGCAGACCTCTCCTGACTCGCCCACTGCTCCCCTCAGCAGTGTACTTCGATCTGTCTATTCTGTTCCCTGCTCTGTCTCTGGTGAATCCTCTCACCTCCCACACCTCTGGCCTGTAGCCCAGTTCTTGTAATCATAAATAAATAAATAAATCTTTTAAAAAAATGCAATATCTGTCAAAGGAATTATCTCAAAAGTTCTAAATCTCAATGCTAACAACTTATTACATTACAAACACCTCCACTTAGTCTGTTAAATAGCTGAAAATGAGCTGCAAAAACAAAACAAAATTGACCTATTGTACTGAAATGAAAATATAAAAGTAAGGCTGTATCATCAGGACTGGTTTTTCCCTACATCTAAAGCCACACTAAGCAGAGCCAGTCACAAAAAGCAGAGCCAGAAAACTTAGGATCTCAAGGAAGGATTGGCAATTTTTGATACTGTGCAAGTTCTTAAATTTTGACAAATTCTGATGTGTTATCAGGAGAAAGTCATTTTTCCTTTCTACCTCAGAGGAATAATGAAGAACTCTGAAACTATGTATTGATCATTCTATCAAAATAAATACAAGGGAAATAAAAATCCCTTGCAATGTCCAATTTTTAAAGAAATACCTTAAAAAGAGCTTCCATAAATTATAATGCAGTTCATAAAATTACAACATTAAGAGGTAGACTTCGCTGATATTATCTACCAGAAAATAAGTTCAATTACTTCCAGTTCAACTTCTGGATCTCTTTCTTCTCCTTGTCGACTTCGAGTACTCTTTAGGAAAAAAAAAAAAAAAAAAAAAAAAGTGATTTAAAACAAACACAAACCTTAGACATATTAGATGATAAATATACAAGGTAAAGTACACTAAAATTGATTATCAAATCTGCTTTTTTAAGAAAAGCATTTGGGGACATCCCTGAAGGCGCAGGCAGTTGAGCACAGCACTGTGAAGCTGTCCACAGCCTCTGCAGTGTGGGTTCGATCCTGGCCAACTGGGGAGATACCCACATGGCATGGCAGACCTCTCCTGTCTCGCCCACTGTTCCCCTCAGCAGTGTATTTCTGTCAGTCTGCCTGTTCTGTTCCCCACTGTCTCGGGTGAATTCTCTCACCCTCCCACACATCTGGCCTGTACTTTTGCTCTGGTATAAATAAAAAAATCTTTAAAAAAAAAAAAAAAAGAAAGAAAAGAATTTGGCAGAAAAAAGCCGTATTTAGTATATTTCTTTTCCTCCTATAAATAATATATACAGAAAGTGCACTGTGATGTAAATCATAAAGATCATTCCAAAGGAAAAGGTATTAACCCTTTGCACTCTGAACCATTCTGGACATTGGCTACCAGGTACTCGATGCTACTTTGCGGCGGAAACGTGCATTTACAGACTCTCGTATTATTTAGTATAATTTTGGAACCAAGTAACGTATTATAATGATATTGGACTTATATGAATTGGGTGACATTGAGGAATGTATATTTGCAAAAAAAAACAATATTTTATTGTTTATAATTTTGTACAGTATGATAAGTTTTGTAACACTCCCTAATATGCATTGCAGGCTGATTAGTACATGTTTGACATGTCTGTATAGAGGTCTATCTGGAGCTCATCTTCACTACTACTTGTGTCATGAGACTCATTCGTGGTTGGACACTTTGCCATTGTTCTAATAAAAAATATGAATAAATGCGTGGGTTGAAAATTTCTAATTGTTATTACTAACTGACAAGATGATATTTACCAAAATAGCTTTCACCAAACAATTTATTCACTAAGAAAAGAATCACTTTTCCGATTTTCTCCTCGTTAGATCTATGTGCACTGCTCGAAGCTTCAAACCAAAACGAGCTCAGCTTTGAAAATCTTTTCCTCCAGATGTAGACTTGTTTATTTGTAATTATATATCTCACTATACAGTGCACGCTATGTTCGAAAACCGACCTTTCTTCTACAAACTCCCCTTATCGCTCTTTTCAAGTGGCGTTGCAAAGTGCTCGGACCATCGTGAGCACGCTTCTCACGTTCTCGTCCGACACAAAACCCGCTGACATTTCTTGTATATATCTTAGTAATTTTACGATATTTTGATTTAATTTCTTGTGCCATTTCAAGATAAAACTTCAGGGAAACATGCGTGTCTCAAAAAGTTGCGTTGAAATAACTCAATTCCCCGTAATCACTAATAAATTGCAATGTCCCCTGAGAGGGGACATCCGAGTGATATGCTAGAATTCCGATGTCCCCTGAGAGGGGACAGCGGAGTGCAAAGGGTTAAAAATAGCAAAAACAATGAAGTAACATAAAAACACCTAGCTCACAGGACGTCATTCTTTTAACAATCTATTGAGATTGCTGATGCTTTCAAAACTGTTAGAAAAAAACAGTAACTTTTATAAAATATCATCACAAAGTTGCATGGTAAATACTGATCAGTTCTAAACTCAAATGCAAAACATATTGCTAGTACAAGAGTAATGCATGTTGATTATTTTTACAGGTCCGTAGGAGCAATTTGGTGGAAGATCTATCCTGGAGCTGCCACTACTAGTGGTATATCCTTAAACTCAGGTTTCCTAACTCTTATCTAAAACCTGGGCATTTTGTACACCTAATTGCCTAATTCACTAAAGAACTGTAAATATCAAATAATAACGTATAATTATTATAACCATGCTGCTATAAGTGTTAAAAAATAGAAAAATATTTTTTTCTTTTTAAGCTCTATGAGAACCAATGACCAAGGTCATTTGGCTAAAGGATGTGATTCATAGAAGGCTTTCACTAGATCTGTGATACCACCATCTACTGGATTCTTCTGTGTTATACAAAGGTGAAGAAGATAATCCTTATCATGTGAGTAACTTAAGACTCTTAAGAACATTACGCTATTCTTAAAATAGCATACCGAAATTCAAAATATGGAAAATAATTCAGAAATATGGCTAAATTTTAATATGTAAAAGTGATGTTAATTCACAAAAACGCCTCTAACAGTCTTCATTAAAAAAAGACAGCATATCTAAAGGAAGTTGACTGTCCTACCCATACTACCCATTTGCAATTAGCTAAAGTTAACTTGATATTTAGAAGAAAAAAATAATTCCATACTGAAGAAAAAAAAATATACATACCTTTACTCTTCTTTGCATGTCATCTTCCACATCTTTTAGCATGCCTATAAAGAGAAACAATGAATTAAAAAAAAGAAATCTAAACACAAAACGTGTGAATTATCTATCTAAATGGTTTTACCTGTAACTCGAAGATCTGTCACACTGTTTGCCATTTTAAATCCGTAAGTCATTGACTGAAAATCTTCCTATACAGAAAAGGAATAATTAAACTCTTGAATAGTAGGAAAACTTTTTGTTATACTTCTTACAAAATCACTATTTGCTAGTCAGAAAACAACAGAATGTCATCCTGTTTGTCTAAAATATTGCTCTCATACATCCAAAATTTCATTATAGGCATATCTTTAGAACATCATATTCTAATGTTGTCTCTGTCCTTAATTGTTGATCTTTAGGCAATTTAAATATACTTCCTTTCATACGTTCATCTGTAAAATAAGGCTAATACTTATGAAACATCACGAAGTAGTTAACTCCCACTTACAGACTATTCTCACATTCACAAATGAATAGTAAGCATAGAGTAATTACAGTCTGATAATAAAGCATCAAGATCTAGACAAAACTCTTCAAAAATTATTTAATACCTACTGTTAAGTGACAAGGCTAATTCTCAAATACAATTACTCAAAGTGATGAAAAAACCACATTTCCACTTTAGCCCCATTGTAAAGAAAAAAACTCGTGTGGCTTCCAACTTCTAAAAACACTGCTGAATTTAATAGCATCTGTATCATTTTATTAAGTCAGAACTAGCTATAAAAGGAGTGTTTCTGTCATATTACAATTCTTCTAAATATGCCTATAGAAGTCTAACATAATGGAGTATGTTATTTACAGCAGTGGCCCAAACTATAGCAAAATCTCTAGAAACTTAATTAAAAAAAATCAGTGAGTATACAATTCATATCAGGTGCTGCATCCTACAAACAGAAAAAACAAATAAACTGTCCTTGGTCTGAAAGATTTCACTTAGTTGTGTTACGCATAACATAACTGACAGGATAGGGTCTTTAAAAAAAATCTCATTATGTTACAGAACTGTAAGTTTATCCTCTAGGCAATGTTTATATTTTATCTCTACTTGGACATCAAACAATTCTCAATTTTTGTATGTCTAAAAAAGGAATTATCTTAGTATTTACCACTTGGCTAAATGGTACCTCTATTTATCCAGCTACTCAAGCTGAAAACCTGTACTTTAAGTCCTGTTTTTTTCCCATAGCCCATATCAATTTATCAGAAAAGTTTCTATTTCTAACCACTTCTCATTTCACAGCTGTCTCTAATCACCACCATCTCTCACTTCTAAGACTACCTTTAGCCTGGCTCTGAAATAGACATTATAAACTACATTTTAAAAATTAGGAACTTGGGGCCTCCCCAGTGGCGCAGCGGGTTGAGTACAGCGCTGTGTGAATCTGTCCACAGCCTCTGTGGCGCGGGTTCGATTCCCGGCCGGCCAGGAAGAATCCTGCATAGCGTGGCAGACCACTATTGCCTCGCCCGTTGCTCCCCTCAGCAGTGTCTTCAGTCCGCCTGCCTGTTCTGCTCCCCGTTCTGTCACTGGTGAGTTCTCTCACCTTCCCGTGCCTCTGACTGTACCCCAGTTCTTGTATAAATAAATAAATCTTTTTAAAAAAAAAAATTAGGAAATGGGCCTCCCTGGTGGTACAAGGGGTTTAGCCACAGCACTATGAAGCTATTGGCAGCCACTGCAGCAAGAGTTCGACCCTCAACCAGTGAGCTGACCTCTTCTGACTCGCCTGCTGCTCCCCTCGGCAGTGTATTTCCATCAATCTGCCTGTTCTGTTCCCCACTCTGTCTCTGGTGAATCCTCTCAACAGCCCCCTCTGCATCTCTGGCCTAAACCCCAGTTCTTGTATGCATAAATAAATCAATCTTTTTAAAATAAAATAAAAATTAGAAACTAAGGCAAAGAAAGTTTAAGTTCCCCCAAACCACTAAGCCAGTAACAAGAGTCAAAGCACAAACCTAGGTCTCATAGTTTCATTTTGAAAAAATTTCAGATTTAGGGCCTCCCTGGTGGCACAGGTGATTGAGCACAGGGCTGTGAAGCCATCCGCAGCCTCTGCAGTGCTGGTTCGATCCCCGCTGGCCATGGAGATGCCCACATGACATGGCAGACCTCTCCTGATTTGCCCGCTGCTCCCCTCAGCAGTGTATTTTGTCAGTCTGCCTGTTCTGATGCCCGCTCTGTCTCTGGTGAATCCTGTCACCCTTCCCCACATCTGGCCTGTATCCCGGTTCTTGTATGAATAAATTTTTTATTTTTTTTAAATTTATTTTTTTTATAGAGGCATGTTTTTATTTATTTATTTGTTTGTTTTGTTTATACAAGCACTGGGTACAGTCAGAAGCGCAGGAGGGTGAGAGAATTCACCAGAGCCAGAGCGGGGAGCAGAGCAGGCAGAAGGACCGAAGTACACTGCTGAGGGGAGCAGCGGGCGGCAGGAGAGGTCTGCGCGCCATGTGGGACCCTCCTCCGGTGGCCGGGAGCAGCCGGGGATCGAACCGGCGCCGCGGAGGCCGCGGGCAGCTTCGCAACCCAGCGCTCAACCGCTGCGCCACCGGGGAGACCCAGAATAAATTTTTAAAAAAAAATTTTCAGATTTAAAAGTGAAAATAGGGCCTCCCCGGTGGCGCAGCGGTTGAGCGCTGGGTTGCGAAGCTGCCCGTGGCCTCTGTGGCGCCGGTTCGATCCCCAGCTGCTCCCCGGCCACCGGAGGAGGGTCCCACATGGCGCGCAGACCTCTCCTGCCGCGCGCTGCTCCCCTCAGCAGTGTACTTCGGTCCTTCTGCCTGCTCTGCTCCCCGCTCTGGCTCTGGTGAATTCTCTCACCCTCCCGTGCTTCTGACTGTACCCAGTGCTTGTATAAATAAATAAATAAATCTTTAAAAAAAAAAAAAAAAAGTGAAAATAAATCCCACATTCCCTTCACTCATATTCCCTATCTGATAACATGTTACAACATTACATTATAATTCCTTATTTTTTTCTTAAACTTTTGAAATTAAGTTGCAGAGATAAAGTTGTCTCTTTATCTTTAAATACATACATAACCATTGAGCAATTATCAAATCAGGAAACTCATGTATCTTTGGATCTTTTCTCTGTCTTTCATGCCCTGACATTTTGGAATAGTACAAGTCAGTCATTTTGTGTATGCTGCTCAGAATGGGTTTGCCTTGTTTTTACCAGATCAAATTCAGCTTGTCATATTTGATATGAATACCACAGAAATAATTTTGTGGTTTTTTTTTTAAAGATTTATTTATGCATACAAGAGCTGGGGTACAGGCAAAAGATGTGGGGGGTGAGAGGACTCATCAGAGACAGAGTGGGGAACTGAACAGGCAGACGGACTGAACACACTACTGAGGGGAGCAGCGGGCAACACAGGAGAGCTACTCATGTGGGTAGCAATCTGGCCGGCTGGGGATTGAACTCGTGCTGCAGAGGCTGTGGATTGCTTTATAGTGAAATGCTTAACCCCTTGCGCCACCAGGAAGGCCCTGATTTTGTGTTTTTAAAGCATTGCACATGGAGGAACATGACAACTTTTTCTATTATTGGTGATGTTAATTCTGGTTAATTGGTTAAAATGGTGTTAGCCAAGTTTTTCCACTGTAAACTTATCCTTGTCTCCCTTTATAATTAATAAATTATCTTATGGGGCGATACACCGATGTTAGGTACAAATCTTGAGTATCATGCTTTGGTCTAGTTATATTTAGCATCCTTTGATAACTCTTGCTAGAAATATTTAAAACCTGTACTTGTAACACAATGCTATGCAGTCAATAAAAACAAGGTAGATATACCTATATGTATTGGTAAAACAAATCTATTCTCTGTTCTACATAAGAAAAAGCAAGTTGCAAATATCGGGTTGTCGGAAAAGTCATGATGCAACAAAGAAAAAATATGTCATGACTTTTACAACAACCCTATAGTTTATATATTGATACTTCCATCAAGTTAAAAAAATGTGTACACAATGGAATACTACTCAGCAATCAAAAAAGATAAACTCATGCCATTTGAAGCAACATAGATGGAGTTGGAAGGGATTATACTAAGTGAAGTCAGAAGGAAAAAGAGAAATACTGGATGGTTTCACTTATATGTGGAATAGAGAGAAACTCAACAAAGGGTCAGGAAAAAGATAAAACTTGCAAGCTGATCTTAGATCTGAGGCACACAGTAGGGGAGAGGGAGAGAGAGGGATTAAAATAAAGGAGGGAAGAGCACAAGGGACTATAATGATAGTTCATGAGTGCTATGATAGTGGGAGAATTATGGGAACTACACTTGAGGGGAGAAATTAAATGTTGTTCAAAATTGAACAACGATGTAAGAAAAAAATTTTTTTATATGTACAAATTATAGAAAAAGTTGGAAAGATGCACACCAAGTAGATAACAGCATTTCTTTCTTTTACCATTTGACTTAGTTTTATATAAACATATTTCTATGTTCAGTTGCAAGTAAGAGAAAAATCCAACTATAGGACTTAAGTGATGCAGACTTATCTCATGTCAAATAATGATTAGAAGTCATCATCTTTCAGTTCCACTATCCCAGGTTCTTAGATTTTTACATCTGTCATTTCATGTTCACAAAATGAAGCATTACCTCCAAACATTACATCCATGTTCAAAGAACTGACAAGGGATGTGTTTGAATAATTCAAACTGGTACTGTACATTATTAAGAATAAAGGAGAACGTTACTAAATATTACAAAAGACTGTTTTATGTAAATCAGCATGTATGACCACAGATGTAACAAATAAAGTCCTAAAGAAGGGCAAGGGAAAAAAAACAACATCTTTCTGGGCACGTCAAGAGAATGAGATCCAAGTTTAAAGATAAATAAGACTGCCCTAAAAGGGCAAGAAGAAAAGGCCTCAGAGCCAGAAGGAACATCCTGTGCAGAAGCATGGGATAATGGAAGAGAATAACATATTCAAAACCAGCTGAATAATAAAAAGTTGGGGGGAGGGGAGATAAGCAATACACAATGAGATAGCATTTTCTGTTAGTTTTTTTCTCTATTAGTCCATCTGTTTAAGATTTCACCTATTTTTTAATGTCCTTTACCCAGAAAATACAGAATTTTGATAATTACTTCTATTATTAAAATAAATTTTTACTTTAAAAATAAAATACTGGCCTATAATAAAAATTCCAAGAATCCAAACAGATATATACCCTGACTCTCAATACTCAAGTTATCGTGTTTTGCATGAAGATTTAACTGCCTGTCTCTCCCTTTTAAAAAACAACAGCAACAAGTCATACATATTTTTCTACTTGACTTACTTTTGAGATCTAATCGGTGCACATAAACCTACCACCTTCCATTTTAAGGTTGCACAACACTCATCATGTATAAATACAGCATTATTTAATGATGGCTATTAAGGTAATTTTTGGAGTTCAGCTACTAGAATAATGCAATGAATGTTTCTGTGCACAGGTCTTTGTGTACAAACACAAACAAGATAGGTAGGATAAAAATTACCCAATTGCTCTTTTAAAAACTTGTATAAATTTACATGCTGATCAAAAATCTTTAAGTCTTGCTTATAGTGGAATTCTTGATCCCTGAAATAAATGTGGAAGGAGTGCTAAAATTAACCCAACTAAGTATCACCAATGGATGCTAAATCTGTGGGGAGAAATTTCAATGAGCAGGGTATTTACAGGTTTCCCTAAAGATTATTTACTGAAGTAATCTGATTACTATATGGTCATCAAAAAACAATAATCAGAAAACATCTTGATGGAGTAATGAAAATAATATCACGATTGAGGTGAAGCACAATGTATGCCTCAGAAGCAATATATAAGGACAAAATATCACCTATATCATATTCCAATCCAGATTGCAGAAATCCAAATCTGATCACAAGTAAAGTTCCCCAATGAGAACTTCTATTTAAAAAGGGAACAAAGGAGAGAGCTATATTCTTCATATATATTAGTGTCATTAAAGACAAAAAAGATTAAAAAACTGCTGTAGATGAAAGAATACTAAAAAGATATACAAATGAAATGCAGGAAATGATGCTAGACTAGATCCCATATGGGGGTAAAATGCTAATGACATTATTGGGTCAAATGAGGAAAATGGATAGAAGACTGGGAATACAGATTTACTGAAATTGCCATGGCTGGAATGAGTGTGTGGCATTTTTCTTGGAAATGCACACACTGAGATTTTTCAAAGATCAAAATGTAGCAACAGTTTATGGGGGGAAGTACATACAACATAAGAAGGTAAAAAAACAAATGGGCCAGTGGTTATAGTAGCTGAACCTGGGTGAGGAATATATAGTGTTTTTTGTGATGTTACTATTACTGCTATTAATTTGAAATTATTTCCAAATAAGATTTTTTCTAAAAGAGTAAAAAGAGGGAAATATAAACACACATACACACGTAAGAGCACATGAGAGCCTATCTTTCCCACTCTCATCAAATGGCATATTATGAAAAAATCCTAATCTTTGCCCGTAACAGTAAAAATACAGTAGTTCCATTCTAATTTGCAGTTAAGTGACATTAAGCATCTAATTTTTTTTTTTTTTAAGATTTATTTATGCAGAGAGGGAGGTAGGAGCAAAGGGGACTAAGGTGATAGTGCACGGGTGCACTGGTGAAGGAAACTCTATGGGGACTACACCTGAGGGGATCGGGGGAAACAAATATTGTTTAAAAATGAATAATGTAAAAAATGAAACAAAATTAATTAAAAAAATAAAGAGATTTATGCATACAAGAACTGGGGTACAGGTCAGGTGTGGGGGGTGAGAGACTCACCAGAGTCAGAGTGGGGAACAGAACAGGGGGACTGACTGAAAAACATTGCTGAGGGGAGCAGCAGGAGAGCCAGGAGAGGTCTGCGGCACCCTATGGGTATCTCCCTGGACAGGGATCGAACTCACGCTGCAGTGGACCCGGACAGCTTCATAGGTTGCATCTTAACTCCCTGTGCCAACATGAGGCTCAAGCATCTAATGTTTCTAAAGGTCATTTTATTTCTTATAAACTATCTTCTGATTTTTAATAACATTTTTACACTTTAAATATTTCATCTATGTGCAATTTATTTTCATGTTGTCAGACTAAATAAATATCTGTGCTGATCTCCCATCCCTCCAATTCATATATGAATTCCTAACACCCAATCTGGAGGTAGGTCCTTTGGAAGGTGATTAGATCAAGATTTGGTAGAAACCTCAAGAATAAAATATTCAAGGGGCCTCCCCTGGTGGTGCAGATGGTTGAGCGCAGCGCTGTGGAGCTGTCCACCACCTTTGTAGCATGAGCTCGATCCCAGCCAGCCGGCGAGATTCCCACATGGCATGGCAGACCTCTCTTGCCTCGCCGGCAATGTATTTCAGTCAGTCTGCCTGTTCTGTTCCCCACTCTGTCTCTGGTGAATCCTCTTACCCTCCTGCACATCTGGCCTGTAACCCAGTTCTTGTATGCATGAATAAACAAATCTAAAAAAAAAAAATTCAAGAACTGGAGATTTCACATTACTACAAAAAATTAAAAAAGAAAAGTACAGGAGACTCCAAAGAGCCTCCCCCAACCCTCCACCCTGCCATTTGAAGATGAAATGTGAAGATGAAACAGAAAACAGGCCTTAACTGGCACCTAATCTGTCAGAGTCTTGATTTTGGACTTCTTAGTCTCCAAACTGTGAGAAATAAATTTCTGTTATTTATAAGTCACCCTATTTATGGTATTCTAATAGCCCAAATGGACTAAGGCAGTTGTAAAATGATAATAATTTTCAAGGGTGTTAACCACCTATTCTAGTACTACTTATTAAAAGAATCCTTTCTCTGTCCTCCCCCTCCCCGATCTCTGATGTTCTTTTGGGTGCACTGTGAGAATGTGAGTATTTAAAACACTTTGTATTTTTCTTCTCACTTATTAACTCAAAGTAATCATTTAAAAATTTTCAAATGAATAAGAATTTCGATAATACCCACACATCAATTCAAATATGTATCTAAATAAGTGTATAAACAGTAAAATAGTATTTCATAAACTACTCACAAGCCACACATTCAAATGTGGATGATACTAGGTTTCATTTAATTATTCTCACATACACAACTTAAATTTAGAAAAGTTTATACAATGTACACTGACCATTGTTGGCACCTAACCTATTTATTTTGAATCAACTACAGTATAAAAAAAAAGTTTAACAGTTTCAATAAAGGGAAGAATTGAAGAAAAATAATTATTTCAATTGCTATCACATTTCCCGTTAAAATAATCATTTGAAATTTTTTTTTTAACATTTTAAAAGGACAGATTTATTAGGAAAAGATGAAAGAAAGAGAGGCACCTGCATAGTCAAAGGCAGCAGAAGAGTTGCTGTAATCTTAATTTTGATTAAAAAAAAAAAAAACAAAACACCACACGTTTAAAACTCATAAAACTTCCTCCGAGTGAGGTACTTAAAACCCTGGAAGAAAATGCTCATACTCTAAAATATTCTTTATAAATGTGTTTCTTAGCACCCTCTTATTCAAACACTGGAAGTATAGCATATCTGTTATAATATCTAAGAAAACTTAAGGGATGAGGCTCTATTCTATTTCCTTTGTGAATCAGAATATCCAGAACAGAAGAGATACTGAATGGTATGGACGGAAAGTACATATCCCAAGATGAAAATTCTTGCTGGGAGAAAACTGGATTGCTTTAGCCAATATATTTGCAGACAGCAACACATCACTTTAAACACACACACACACACACACACACACACACACACACATATGTATATATAGAGACAAAATTATGTATCATATAACCATTTAAATACATCACAGTAAGGTGGTCAATGAACTTCAGGAACTTAGATTACAAAATCTTACCTCTTCAAAAACAGCCGCTTTATTCACTTTTTCCCTTGCAATGTCACAAATTTTCAAAATTCCCAGAGCAAAAGCTTTCATGGCAGGATCTTCTATAAAGTCTGGATTATGAATGTAAAGGCACGTAAATACTGTCTGTGCCAAGGAATGGCCTTCTAACCATGTTATCTGTAAGAAAGAATGTGTATGTTTAAAATGATACGCAGAATCTGCATTGATCCAGCAGTCAAAAATGAGAGTGCCACAGATGTAAATAAATGTAAGATTAATCAAAAGATATAAAGATGATTAAAGAAATGGCCAGGAAAGACAAGTGTTAGAATTCACTTTCATTGACTAGTCTTTCAAGAATCATTACCACAAATTTGATCAGCTGAGAGACAGATATGGACAGCATTCTCATATATAATTAGGTTTCTATTTTTTTTTTTAAAGATTTATATAAAACCGGGGTACAGGCCAGATGTACGGGAGGGTGACAGGATTCACCAGAGATACAGCGGGGAACAGAACAGCAGACTGAAGAAATACACTGCCGAGGGGAGCAGCGGGTAAGACAGAAGAGGTCTGCTGCGCCATGTGGGTTGCTCCCTGGTTGGCCAGGATGGAACCTGCGCTGCAGAGGCTGCAGACAGCTTCATAGTGTGTGGCGCTCAACCACCTGCGCCACCAGGGATGCCCATAATTCAGTTTCTATTATAATATATTTGGAGGTTAACGAAATTAGAGTATTTCCTTACATTGCATCCAAAAGCAATCACTCCACAACGCGGTCAATAAGATTTCATAAATTAGGAAATTCACAATGTCAAAACTAACCAGATCCTTAACTAGTTACACTATTCTTTTCTCAACCTCACAACTATCGAAAGCATCATATCTCATTTAGATTACCTCAAAAAATGGTTTTCCTGCCTCCCATCTCTAATCTAATTCAATACCCCACTAGAGGCATCTTTCCAAAATACAAAAAATATCATTCAACACTATTTTATTCAATGATGAACATGTGTAGTAGCTGGGAATACCAAAAGCAGTTAAAACTAAGTAACTATTATTCCCAAGTACTATGCTAGGTATTTTCATATATCTTACCTCATTCCCCCCCCCCAAAACTCAGAAAAGTGGCATTGTTCTCCTTTTACATATAAAGAAGCAGAGTCAGAAAGTGTAAATCAGGGCCTCCCCGGTGGCGCAGCGGTTGAGCGCTGGGTGCGAAGCTGCCCGCAGCCTCTGCAGCGCCGGTTCAATCCCCGGCTGCTCCCCGGCCACCGGAGGAGGGTCCCACATGGCGCGCAGACCTCTCCTGCCGCCCGCTGCTCCCCTCAGCAGTGTACTTCGGTCCTTCTGCCTGCTCTGCTCCCCACTCTGGCTCTGGTGAATTCTCTCACCCTCCCGTGCTTCTGACTGTACCCAGTGCTTGTATAAATAAATAAATAAATCTTAAAAAAAAAAAAAAGTGTAAATCATTTGTCAAAGTATGTAGGGTTATATATATATATTTTTTAATAAAGATTCTTGGTAATTTTTTTTTTAAAGATTTATTTATATAAGCACTGGGTACAGACAGAAGCGTGGGAGGGTGAGAGAATTCACCAGAGCCAGAGCAGGGAGCAGAACAGGCAGAAGGACCGAAGTACACTGCTGAGGGGGAGCAGTGGGCAGCAGGAGAGGTCTGCGCGCCATGTGGGACCCTTGCCCAGTGGTTGGGGATTGAACTGGCGCTGCAGAGGCTGCAGGCAGCTTCACAACCCAGCGTTCAACTGCTGCACCACCGGGGAGGCACTGCAGGGTTATATTTTACACTAAGTCCGAGAATTCTGCAATAGATAGCAAGATATATGCTATCCATTTCATGAGAAATAAGCATAAAAATAACTTAATCTGTGTATTTTGTATTAACAGTATCAAGAAGATACTGAAAACCATCTGCCTATTAAAGGCCAAACACTTAGATACAATCCCAAAGTCTCACAGAATGATTCCTCAACTTTGGCAAAAACCCTGTCTTGCTTCTGTTTGTCCTATTCCACTAGGACTATAAACTGCTAAGAGGTGATAAAGATACCTTTAGAGGGAAAGAGACAGCTCTGGAGGAAGAAGGATCAGCATTAAGACTCTGGCAATGCCCCTTCCTAGCAATGTAACCCTAGGCAAATGGAATAAAATGGTAACAGATATCTAACAGAGATGATGTAAGACCTACACACGTAAAACAACTAAGAGAAGTATTTCACATACACTGGCAATCATTCCAATTTAACAAATAAATTTTATGTATTTCTTAGGATGATGCGCCATCATTAAGTTTAAAAAAGCAAGTCAGAAAGGAATAACAAAACAGAAAAAGTAAAATGACAGTACAAATGAGACTTCCCCATAATTAAACAATACTGTCTAGGGAAGACAGTTTAACCAGCTTATATAAACCACCAGAAAATTTTCTTCATAAAATATGGTCAGTTTGCTACAATTTACCCTATTTTAGGGGAGAAGAATCTTTCCAAAGCAAATCTAGAGTTCTCTGTTTTAATTCCATGCTTATTTTAATGAAAACTTCCAATTATAGATTTGTTCCCCTAGGTTCCTTAAGAACAAAAAAGGTACTCTGGGTAATGGCTATATATTGATACTATCTTCCATGGAAAGAAAATATCCCTTTACCCAAAAAATGAGAACCTAAAAATCACCCAGAGTGATAAAATGATAAAAAGCTCTTTACTATATCATAACCTGAATCTACTAATTTTATCTACCACTTAATCCACCATACTAGACAAAGCATTACAGATACTTCATATTCAATGCTGGTTATGTTATTTTTAGCTCTTACCAAACAGCAAAAACATGTATCCATTATCCCTATTAATTCAGGCAAGGCGAGATCTTTAATTTTAATGGTGCCATCCTAAAAAGGAGGGGAAACACAACACATCAACAGAAGTTTCTTGAAATTTTGAAAAAAATTTATGGCTATACATACATAGTGAATATTTAAACATAGTAATTCTAGGAAAACTATCTGATCATCAATGAAGACTCCAAATTGCGTATTCTTAAAAATAATAACATATTAAAGATCTTCAATAAGGAAAAGTAAAGCCTCTCGAAATTGAAGCAGAATAAGCCCTTTATAAAAAAATTCAGTAAGTATTTGAAAGCACAGTTCAACTTAGTTAAGTACAAATATGAATCATTTAATAATTCCAATATTTACAAATATTTAAAAAAATTGCCCTCTTAAATTGGTTAACTATACAAAAATTTTGTTTACAGTATTCATGTACTTAACTAATCTTTTTTATTTTTAAAGATTTATTTGTTTTTATACAAGAATTGGGGTACAGGCCAGAGATGCAAGGGTGGGGGGGGTGAGAGGATTCACCAGAGACAGAGTGGGGAACAGAACAGGCAAACGGACTGAGGTACACTGCTGAGGGGAGCGGAGGGTGAGACAGAAGAAGTCTGTGCTGCCATGTGGGTTTCTCCCTGGCCGGCAGGGAATCAAACTTGTGCTGCAGTGGCCGCTGATTGCTTCATAGGTTGCGTCTCAACCCCTGGGCCACCAGGGAGGCCCTTAACTAATCTTTCTTCATGAAACATGCAAAATTAAACTGTGTCAACTATGAATGAATTTCTAAATCAACCTGCATTGAATAAATCTAATCCACCACAAGTATTTTACATAATATACCAACACAGCGAATCTAATTCCTAAGTCAATTACCTTGGTATTTGAATATGTACTCAAATGCTTTCAAAAAACCAGTTGAAAGTATATACACATATGCACACAATTTCAGAGAAAATTTTTACTGAAGACCTTGAACAATAAATTTCCAGATTTCTACGAATAAGATACATAGCTATAGGTCATAATTCTTGTTTATATACATGAGATGCCATTAAATATTACACTTCAGTATACTAAGCTTGATTTCCATTATTAATCAGAATGTTTTACAATGCAAAATAACAAACAATAGGGGAAAACATTAAAAAAGTGCAATGGTGACTACCTTGATAGCTTGTTCAAAATTGAGAACTTTTCGATTAACTTGGTTTCCAATCATTCCAGCATCCATCTTGGGATCCATCATTTCAATGGCAGACATGGCTTCAAAAAGACCAAATCTGCAAATATAAAAAAAGACCCCACATATTGTTTTTAAACCTGTAAACTTACCCAGTTCCCATAATATCAAATTATTATAGTATTTTAAATAAATGTATTTTTTATATTTAGTCTTACCAACTTGTTATGACCTCTCAATTAAATAATCTTTCTTAAAATCCTTCCATTTAATTGTCATTCAAATTACTTTATACATACTTGGCAGAGAAAAGGATTAAAACAAAAGACTTTTTGTTTCCTTCAAAAAGGTTACATATTTGAAGTTTCTGGGGAAAAAGTGATCAACTTATCTATAATGAATTTCACTTTATTATCTTTAAATAATTTCCTCTAACATTTAGAAAGTCTGTTTGGAATAATCATCAAATGTAACTTTTAGATTTCTTAATTTTATTTATATCTTGAAAGACCAATAATCTGGTATATTACAATCTGTATAACTGCCAAAACTTCGGCAATTACACAAAGAAAAATAATGTAGAAACTCTGACAGTCTGGTATTTGTAGCTTATGAGCCACAGAAACAGATAGCTATGAGATGCACTGTTGACTGATAATTATATCATTAAATTAGATAAACCTCAAGAAATAGGAGCAGAAGGAAGGTTTAAAAAAATATATACTATCGGGCCTCCCCTGGTGGCGCAGTGGTTGAGCGCTGGGCTGCAAGGCTGCCTGCAGCCTCTGCAGCGCCGGTTCGTTCCCCAGCCGCCAGTGAGGGTCCCACCAAAAAAAAAAAAAAATATACACACACACACACACTATCACACTGTTGACTTCATAGTTTGTTTAATTTAAATCATTTGATTAGGGCCTCCCTGGTGGTGCAAGGGGTTAAGACGCAAACTATGAAGCTAGCCGCAGTCACTGCAGCACGAGTTCGATCCCAGGCCAGGGAGATCCCCACATGGTGCAGCAGACCTCTCCTGACTCGCCTGCTGCTCCCCTCAGCAGTGTATTTCAGTCAGTCTGCCTGTTCTATTCCCTACTCCATCTCTGGTAAATTCTCTCACCCCCCCCACCCCTCTGGCCTGTACCCCAGTTCTTGTATGCATAATCTTTAAAAAAAAAAATAAATCATTTGATTACCAGGAAAATAAAGACATTCTACCTTATTACATTAAAACAGGTGTCTCAGAAAAGTAGCAGCTTTGTAAAACATCCAAAAGAGCTTTAAGGGGACAATCTTTCCATGCAACCCATCAAATCTATTAAAGCTTCAATTTAAGATACTATAACAATATGCATGTTATGATTTCATATAAGAGAACTCTTATCTGTAAATCTGATGCAATTATGCTAATCAAAACCCAGATAGTATTTTAGGGCCTCCCCCGTGGCGCAGCGGTTGAGCGCTGGGTTGCGAAGCTGCCCGTGGCCTCTGCAGCACCGGTTCGATCCCCGGCTGCTCCCCGGCCACCGGAGGAGGGTCCCACATGGCGCGCAGACCTCTCCTGCCGCCCGCTGCTCCCCTCAGCAGTGTACTTTGGTCCTTCTGCCTGCTCTGCTCCCCGCTCTGGCTCTGGTGAATTCTCTCACCCTCCTGCTTCTGACTGTACCCAGTGCTTGTATAAACAAAAACAAACAAATAAATAAATAAATAAAATAAAGCATGCCTCTATAATAAATAAATAAATAAAGACCCAGATAGTATTTTAAAAAGAGTATCAAATCAAAAGAGAAGATAGTATTTAAAAAAGAGTATCAAATCAAAAGAGAAGATATGCAAAATTGGAAGGAGAATTTTTTTCAACAAGACTATAATAATTAGCACCTTTCTGGTGGCGCAAGGGGTTAAACACAACACTATGAAGCAATCTGCAGCCTCTGCAGCACGAGTTCGATCCCCAGTCGGCCAGGGAGCAACCCACATGGTGCAGCAGACCTCTCCGGACTCGCTCACTGCTCCCCTCAGCAGTACACCTCAGTTGATCTGCCTGTTCTGTTCCCCAATCTGTCTCTGGTGAATCTTCTCACCACCCCCCACCCCCGCACATCTGGCGTGTACTCCAGCTTTTGTATGCATAAATAATCTTTTTTTAAAGATTTTATTTATTTATTTATACAAGTACTGGGTATAGTCAGAAGTGCGGGAAGGTGAGAGAATTCACTAGAGCCAGAGCAGGGAGCAGAACAGGCAGACTGATGAAGTACACTGCTGAGGGGAGCAGCGGGCGGGGCAGGAGAGGTCTCCGCGCCGTGTGAGCATCTCCTCGGCTGACCAGGAATCGAACCCACGCTGCAGAGGTTGTGGACAGCTTCAGAGCGCTGTGCTCAACCCGCTGTGCCACCAGGGGAGGCCCTAAATAATCTTAAAAAAAAAAAAAAAAAAAAACTACAATTAAAAAGTGTCTAGTATATACAAATCACTAGAAAACCGCTCAAACCTGTTTCTGCAGGAATTACATATGACAGCAGTGGAGTTTCAAATTAGTGGAACAATGGATTAGTCAACACTATAGAGACAAAAGACTAAGCACCTTGAAAAAAATGAAAATTTGATTCACATAATTTGAAAAAATAACCCCCTGGCAGATTTAAGCTCTAAATTGAAAACAAAATACTCGTTAATTTACAAAATTATTAAGATGATAACTGCAATAAGTAAATATTTTAAATTTATAAACAAGAAAAATCACAAGTAAAACACTGATAATTATCTGGAGGAAATATTTTTACATAATTTTCAAAGAGGTAATATCTAGAACATATAACTCTTACAAACAAATAAGTCAAATAATCAGGAAAAAAAAGAACTTGGACAATTCACATAAAATAATAACTACTAATTCAAAGTGGAAAGCTACTCAAATTCAAATACAATCTGATAACACAAAACAATGAAGAGTTTTGGAGGCTTTTTTGGCCACAAGGAAAATTAAAAAAAAAAAAAAAATTAGTGTACTGTCACACACTACTGGAGCTTAAATTAATACAAACTTTGACAGAAATTTAGCTGAATTCCTTAAAGTCATTTGATTTCTAGGCTTTTATCCTAAAAAGCAGATGCACATTTATATATACAAATAGGTTTATATAAATCTGATGTTTTTGCTTTTATTACCAAAAAAATTTTGAAATTTAAATGTCCATCAATAAGGATATCATAGACTAAATTATGGTACAGCCATTTTGTACAACACAAAGATACCAATAAAATTAATAAGGCAGAGCTATTGTACACTAAAACAGGGAGAGGAAGTTACAAAATAATACTTACTAAATATTCCATTTATAATTAGCTACTTTTATAATTTGAAGGTAAAGAAATAGTAAACAAAATTAAGAAATTCAACAAAAATGAAAATTGGCTCTTAAAATTGACAAACCCCTGGAGATAGAGAAGATAAAGGTAAAAGAAAAAGGTAAAAAAAAGTACAATCAGCTATTTTTATAGATTTTATATATAAAGATATATTTTTTACAGGTCCAAAAGGACATGCAAAAACCTACTAATTTATAATGGTGATTATTGCTGGGTAAAAAATAGATGGTAAGAAGAGATGGTGTCATGGGATGTTTAAATTTGTTAAAAATAAAGTATCCAGGTATTACATGACAACTAAAAAGAAATTTTTAATGACATAATTAAAACTCTGGGACAATAATATTTGCCTAATTACTAAAATTGATACAGAAACTATAATAGCATTAAGTTAGCAATTTCATTTATTCAAACAATACTTAATAAGTGCCTATTAAGTACTAGGTACTATACTGTGCACTGGAATAGAAGAGTGAGTAAAACAAATTTGCCTGCCATATAGAGCATCCATTCTAGTAGAAGAAAAAAGACAATAAATTGTAAAGAAAAATTTACTTTAAAATAAATTATATAATATGTTAGAAGACATTACCTGCTAAGGAGAATACAAAAGACAACTAAACAAGACAAATGGTCAAGGCGGGCAATCATGTTCCCTGGGCTCAGAGCCTAAAACCTTAGGGGAAATGAAGGTGCCAGGTCCCTGTAGCTGTCCTCTCTCAAATCTTTTCCACAGCCAGAAGCAACATTCTTTCCTGCATTAGCGTGTGGTTTGATTTTCATTCTATCTTTCACAGGATTGCTTACAGCATCAAAATGATATTCTATCATCAACTACACCTACAGTAGTTCTCAAAGTGTGGTCCCAGGATCAGCAGCATCAAGGTCACCTGGGAACTTGTCAAATTCTGAGGTCCCACACTGGACCAACTAAATAAGGAGTTCTGTTGTCCAGCAACGGTTTTTAAAAGTTCTTCAATGGATTCTTATATACGTTAGCGTTTGTAAAGAACTAAACTTCCGGGGTCTACCTCCCCTCCCCAAATACCTGGTTTTCACATTCCTACACCTAAAAATTAAGCCTGGCCATTGCAGTTTAGGAACTGAGGCTAAGCACTTCTGTTTATTTTACCTTTACTGGGATTTTCAAACTACTTTCATCCAAGCATTTAGTCACCTATTCTCTAGTCACTAATCACATATGAAATACAACCAATACCTTTTCTTTAAAATAATTCTCTATCTGTAGTAGAAGCAGGCAGAGCGGGCAAAGGAGAGTTCTGGGACCCTCAGTAGCTTTTTCAGGCTTTTAATGATCTTTCTACACCATCTGTAGTGAGGCAACTAGATGCAGGGCAGGCAGGGGGCCCCTGACCAATCTTTACTCTCTCTGGGCTCTCTGACGTTCTCTTGTGTTTTCTTTCTCTGGTAGCTGTTCTCTGTTGCCATCTCACCACACACTCCTCTGCCACTCCCTGCTCTCTGTGATGCCACGCCCTTATATGCTCAGCCTCCAGGCTTAGGTGTGCCCACTCACGCATGCCCATACCATACTCCAGGTGTCCACTATCAGGCACATGTGGACACGCTCCCAAGAGCCTCCTGCATTCAAGGCCACAGGTGACAGCCACAGAGGCCAACAGCATAAAAGCCTGAGCAATCTTCAATTACCCTATACTACCCCTCAAGGAAAGAATCACAAGCCACAGTTTCACCGGGGACAACCATTTCAACTAACAACTAAGGTCAGCTGCCCCAAAATAGCTCAGTAAGGTTAAAAACATATTTATAATTAGCTTTATTTTTACTTTAAATGCTTTGAAATGTAAAACTGCTCGGACTTCCAGGAATAATAGTGTACATGAGGAAAAACAGGTGGAAATATTTACTATGTTATTTCAAAGGACACAAATACTTACAACTTATCATGAAGCAGTTCTCCCAACTTTAATTCTAAAAGACAGAAAGAAAAAAATCCTTTCAATACCACAGTTACCTTTCAATTCGAAAAAAACTAAAACAAAACATTAGCACATAAAGAATGTGCTTGCATTATTTTAAAATTTATTTTCTAGAAATGGTTTAATTATTTCTACTCAATTACTAACATGTATTCTCCACAGTGAACATTTAAATATAATTAAAAGTAGCTTTTAAGAATGAGCACGTATCCGTCACAGGTTACCATGTCCAATCAAAATTACCAACCTCATTTTAAAAATCATCAGTAAATTTCCCCCTAAGTAAACTTTTTCAAGGAATTGGTTGCATTTTCTTGAGTTCTAAAAATACTTGAATTCTATAATTTAATACTTTTGTTTCAGAAATAGTGTCAAGATGATTTTTTAAACTAAATTTTATTTAAATATTGTACAAAACACTTGAGTAAACAGCTAAATCAAAATGATTTTGGCAGTATATTATCATCAACTGGGAAGCTTTTATCAATGCCAATGTCAAAGCAGCACCCCAAACCAATTAAATTCTAGGAGTAAGATCTAAGCAGTGGTAATAAACTATTCCAAGTAATTTCAATTTGAAGGTAAGGCAGGAACTATGACCGTAACATAGTAAGTTGCTTGAATATTGATGTCAAAACCACTGGAAGGTGTAAAGGAGTTTCAGAACTTTACCTATCCTCTTAACTAATCATAAGTTAAATAAAATTTTTATCAATTCCATCTAACAATGGAGATAAATCAACAAAACCATATGCCAAAATACTACAATAAAGCATAGCAAAACACAGAGCAATTCTCAAAAGTGACCTGGGGATCCAGGAGTCTGTGATGTCAAAATTATTTTCATAACAAACTAAAAGGTTCTTTGTCTTTTACACTGTTGATATCACACTGATTTAGTAAAAGCAATACTATAAAGAAGAAAAAGAGAAAGTAAAGCTGGGCAAAACTGCTATAGTTTTGGCACAAATCAAGTCAGTGCATCCAAGTGAGTGCATTCTTCACCTTCATAAACCTGGACTTAAAAAGAGAAAAAAAAATTTTTTTTTTTCAAATTTCACTTAAGTCTTTCATGAAGCAGTAAATGATTAATCTGAGGACCATGACCAGAGAGATCCAGGTGTAAAATTTAAGGAGGCACTCACTTTCAGGTTGTGTTTTCTTAAATTCTGTACCTAGGTGCCTCGCTTTCTTCATTCTAGTGCCAGTTGATTATTTTTGTTAAATTTCAGTCTGAGTACATGTCTTTTTAATACTTGGACAATATGGGAAGTATACATAAATACTTCAACTGCGCACCAAAGTGGATAAGCACTCACACAATTATAAAACATCCTGTTTAACTGAAAGGACAACTGACAAACTATAGTTACTCAGACATGAAAATAAGGCATCTACTCAAAAAATAAATGAGCTTCAAGAAAAACATAGGAAAATGTTGCAATGATAAAATATGAACTTACATACTTAGAAATGTGGTTTTTAATACTGTATAATGAAGTGTGTCAACATTTGGAAGAGCTGCTTGACTCACTGAACTAGTGTTTTGCAAATGATAATGTATGTTAAAAAAGTAGATATGGATCAAGGAGTCACTCAAAGTTCAAGACAGACCAATGGATTTTAATGTATCAGAGCATGAAACATCCATTGATACATGGCTTCAGATTCCACACTACAATTAATCTTTAAGAAATTACCACCTGTCAAGTTCTGGTGTATCAGAGTAGAATATCCACAATTATCTGAAAAGTTTCTTCCATTTTTCAACTACTGAAAAGGCCAGATTTACTTCATATACTTCAACCAAAACCAAAACTTGTGGCAAAAGACTGAATACAGAAGTAAACATGAAATTCAGATATATTCAATTATGGCAAAATTTAAGAGATCTCAAAACTGTTTATTCCACTCTTCTAATTTTTGGAAAATAAATTTTCATTAAGAAATGTTATGTAATGGGTTTACTATCGTTTTCAAAGGAATAAATTTTAAAAATTCTCAGTTTTAAATTCTAATATGGTGTACATCTATATATATGACATGTGAATAACAATTTCAAAAATTTAACATTGTATTCATGTAGAACCACAAAAGACCCCCAATAGCCAAAGCAACCCTGACAAAAAGAAAGGCACTATCCCAGACTTCAAACTATACTGCAAAGCTATACAGCACATAAAAAAAATGCATCACTTGTCAACTGGAAAGCAAGGGAAATGCAAAACAAAACCACAATGATATATATCTCAGTCCTCTGAGAATGGTCCACATTAAAAAAAAAAAAGATATAAGTGTTGGTGAGGGTGTGGAATAAAGGGAACTCTTGCACAGTGTTGGTAGGAATATAGGTTGGAAAACAGTATGGAAAACAGTATGGAGGTTTCTTAAAGAAAAATTTTTAGGGCCTCCCTGGTGGCTCAAGGTGTTGGGCACAGCACTATGAAGCTATCCGCAGCACGAGTTCAATCCCCAGCCACCCAGGGAGATAACCACATGGTGCAGCAGACCTCTCCTGTCTCGACCGCTGTTCCCCTCAGCAGCGTATTTCAGTCAAGTCTGCCTGTTCTGGTCCTCACTCTGTCTCTGGTGAATCCTCTCAGCTCCCACACTCTGGCCTGTAACCCAGTTCTTATATGCATAAATAAACAAATCTTTAAAAAAAAAAAAAGAATGTAAAAATGCCACCTCTCCCCCACCCCCACCTAAATGTTTAATCAGTCAAGTCAGATCTTCAACCTCAAGGAAGGAAGTCAGGCAAATTTTCTCTACAGAGTATGATCTTTCCAAGAGAAGAGAGTTAAACAACTTATCAGAGGTTCTCCAAGAAAAAAGTCAAGCTGGATAGTGAGCCCTGTTCAAAAATTCAAAGGTTCCAACTAGCTTTTTGGTACCTCCTCCCCCACCAACATTAGATAGGCAACAAAGGATTCCTAGATATCTGAAGTAATCCCCTAATAAGACAGAAGGCAAAGGAAACAAATGTAAAAAGGCAAGGTGGAAGAAAGACACAATGCAAGCAAACAGTAATTCAAGAGAATTATTATCTTTCAGAAAGGTAAAATAGTGCAACCCTGAAACAAAAACAAGACAACTTAAAAATACAGTTACATTCAAAGAAAAAACCTTAGAAATTAAAAACATCACAGGAGAAAAGAAAAATTCAGTAGAAAGTTTGGAAGCTAAAGTTGATAGTCTAAGTAAGTCTATTCAAGCTGCTAAGATAAAAATACCACAAACTGGTATCTTTACAACTTATTTCTCACAATTCTGGAAGCTGGGAAGTCCATGGTGCCAGTAAGATTTAGTGTACCAGATGCCCATGATGTTGCTGGAAACCACATGGTGGGAGGGAATAGGGAGCTCTGAGGATTCTCTTTTACAGGAGTACTAATGTTATTCATTCGTATGACCTTCACTCTCAAGACTAAAGCACTTCCCAAAGATCTCACTTCCTAATACAATCTTTTTTTTTTTTTTTTAATTTTCTAGAGGCATGTTTTATTTATTTATCTATTTGTTTGTTTGTTTGTTTGGTTTATACATGCACTGGGTACAGTCAGAAGCGGGAGGGTGAGAGAATTCACCAGAGCCAGAGCAGGGAGCAGAGCAGGCAGAAGGACCGAAGCACACTGCTGAGGGGAGCAGCGGGCGGCAGGAGAGGTCTGCGCGCCATGTGGGACCCTCCTCCGGTGTCTGGGGAGCAGCCGGGGATCGAACCGGTGCTGCAGAGGCCGCGGGCAGCTTCGCAACCCAGCGCTCAACCACTGCGCCACCGGGGAGGCCCCCTAATACAATCTTGTTGGGCATTAGGTTTCAAAATAAACCTGATGGGACATAAACATCCAATCCAAAGCTTGAGGGGAAAAAAACAGATGGAAAATAAGAAAAGACGAGGGAAAACCAGAGTATCAATCTAGAAGGTTCAACATCAAAAAAAAAAAAAACACCCCAAAACAACTCAGACATTCTATAAGGAGAAAACCAAAACACAAAAAAATATGAAATAGTATAATTCAATAAAGTTTCTCAGAACTGAAGGATCAGATTAAGTAAAAAGTCCCTAGAGTCAAGTCAATACGGCAAACCACGGTGAATGTTCTGGATAAGGGCAGAAGATCCCAAAAGAGTACGCATGAAAGGAATCAGAATGTAATCAGTCTCCTTAATAGCAACATCAGAGCAATAAATCAATGGCAATGACCTCAGAATTGTCAAACATACCCAGTCCTATTATCAATAAAGTGGGAGGATAAAATAAAGACATTTTTAGGCATCCAGAGCCTAAAAGAAATGTATCACACTTTATTCAGGAAGATAATAAAGATGTCCAATCAGAGCTGGGGGGAAAGTAAGAAAGTCCAAGCTGATGACAAAGATGATCTCAGGATCATACCAGGTACAAATGATAAATCCAGATGGAGCAAATTAAGAGGCTCAAGAAGAAAAATCTGTTTAGAGATGAAGATAATAAGATGTCTTGATTATCTGATGGCTTTAAAGAGGTTTGGATGGTTGGTGAAGAGTCTAAGGCAGAATTAACGGTAAATACAAATAGTCTGGGTAAATTTTTATGTGCAGCAAGGCAGAATAATAGATTTATTCTTTGACTCAGTTATGAATAATGTTTGCATATCCATAATATAGCTATAACTGTATAGGAGAAGTCTGTAGAAATGTTATAATTGGAAATGGGCAATCAAGAAGGAACAATAAATGCAGGTACTCTGGAATCATAAATACCGCAATACCAAGTAAAGTGGGGGGGAAGTAGTAACTTTTAAGGACACCCCATCTACAGACAAAACCTCCTAACATAAAGCAGGCTACAAAATAAAGGGAAACTGATGAGATGCACTCAAGTGCATCGAAAGTGCACTTCCTACTGCTTGCTCTATGTTGATACCAGCTGCTATAGGTCTTAAGACATACAATATCCATTATGTTTCCATCCTAAAAAATCCAGGATCAGAGATGTTACGTGATAGTTCAACATTCTTGAAAGCAATTTAAATGGAGTCATCTCAGTGGCACTATCAATATTCTGGTCAGAAAAATTACCTTTTTTTTGGGGGGGGGGCTATCTTGTACATTAGAGAGCAGCGTTCTTGGTGTTCACTAGATGCCAGTAGAAAACCACCCCCTCCCCACTGTGACAACCAAGTAAGTAATAAGGTAAATGTCCCTTAAGGGGCAAAATTATCCCAGAGGAGAACAGCTCATCTAATTGGTAGTAATAATGGTGACACAATTACCAGTACTGCTTCCCCAACAACCATGCCATACCCCTGAAAATATTCTTGATCATATAGAACAAGGAAAATATAATTTTCATTTCTAAAACCAAACCCACCTAAAAAAATATTTTATATGTATTTCATCAGGGCATATTCGGTCCATCTTTTCCCTCAAAATAAAGTGTTAACAAAAAGCAAAATTCTACAACAGATTTTCAAACTGGGGTTCATGGATTGCAGGGGTGGGGAAATAATTTAAGATGAACAGGATAATGAATCAAAAACTGCTACAATTTCAGTGGCCAAGTTCATGTTTATAATTATGCCGGTTTCAGGCAATCACCCCAAATGATAATTTTTAATGTAATGCAGTGGAAATTCTGAAGTCAAAGATAAAAATACTCTCTGGTTAGAAGAAACGTGGTCTTAGAATGGTCTTTTATTCTTAAAATAAAAACTGAGCACCTACAAACATACTGGGCGAAAAAAAGAACACTAAGGAAGAGAAACAAAAAGCTTAAGTACCACATATTTTAAAAGAGGGAAGAAAATGTAATAAAAGGAGTTTTCTAAAAGTACCAGGCATGAACACATTGGATGGATACCATTGTATCACAGAGAGAACAGTATCTCTGATAAAAACTGACTAAAAAGAATGAGCTAATAATGGAATGTTAATTTAAAAAAATTTAAAGATGAAGAATGATCTTGGCCATCAAAAAAACCCAAAATGGGATGAGAGTATGGACTCATATCTCCTAGACTACAGTTTAAAAAGAATGGAAGTTATAACGGCAGACCTTAAATCATCTCTGTGCTCTAGGTACCTGTTGGTGCCCCATCATCCTAAGACAGACTGTTGGCTATACATAGTGTGTGGAAGAAGGGAATTTGAGAGACAAAAGCAGCAGTGAATATATAGCATATAAATGCATAAAATTAAGAGTTTATATTCATTTGTGTTTAAGTGAAATTTCTTAATTGTGGGTTTGTAATTCAAAAAGCTCCTAATATAGAGAGCCAAATGAATATGAAGATCAGAGACTTTCACAGGTAGCAAAATGAGATGGTTTAAATAAGACAAGTTTTCTAGCGAAGCAACACTCAGTGGTGATACTGATGCTATAGAAAATAATTTGGGGAGGAAAAAAAAACAAGAACCCAAGATCAGTTATAGAGAATGTGTGCCACCTCCTTAAGAGGAACTAAAAGAAACAGTAAATTTAAGGATTTGATCCAGAGAACATTAAACAGCAATTTAAAAAAAAAAAGCAGAAATGTGCATGTGAAACACAGTCATCAGTATGAAGACTGTTTTCAGTACTAAAAAAAAAAACCACGAAAGTTCATCACACTGTTAATAAAGAGGACAAACCACTGAGAGTGTTAAAGAATGTACTGATACTGATTTTAAATTTAGTTTTCAGGAAGGTGTTAGGACAGAAGTATACACTATAATTGAGATTATGAACTAATTTTTTCAGGAAGGGAAAACAAATGAATACCACAGGCTTAAGCATTGCTAATCGCCTTTAGTCCTAAATCTAAAGAAGATACATTCTATGTCAACCTTTTAGCTTCAAGAAGCATACCTCCTTTTGTGTCACTTGATATAGCATAAGAGCTAATCATGTAAGTTAATTAAGATCATCTGATGTTGACAAAAAATGACATTCTATCCCTCTTAAGCCACACAGAAGTATGGACTAAACCATTTCTTTTACTCAAGGTTCCTTCCATAAAGAAGAATTATATACTGTTTCTCAAACAGAAACTCTCACTAAACTCTGGCTCTCATGGTTCACCTCAGTCTAGAATGATTTCTTCACATTCACTTATAGAAGCTTGGCCACACCTTAAAAGTCCAATTCAAGCTGCATATACATCACAAAACCTTTCCTATTTAGGTTCATATAGACCACTTAAAGTCAGTACAAGATACAAACAAATCCACTTTATAGTATAAGATCTCTGAGCAACAAAAACTACAATGAAACTTACACTTCTTTCTCTCTCCTTTAGATAGACATATGTAGACAGTCACCCAAATCCCAGACTAAAGTTCTTTCCACTATCTCACTTAGGCATATTTTAACTGGACATGTTTTCAAAATAGTGTAAGAGTAGGCACATGATTTAAACATTGTGCTTATATTCATCTGGCTCCCTTTCTACCTGCAGCTCTCCAAGTCTATTCCTCTACCTATGAACACCATTATAAATACACCTCACTTCACCATCACCAAAGATCTGATCTTTTCTCAGCAAGAAAATAAAAGACAGTAAGGTGTGAATCCCTCCACCATTCTTCCTCATCCACTTAGAAATATGTTTTCTGGGGGGAAAAAAAGGTAAAGAAATACAACTGTATTGTCAGCACCCAAACCTCAATTTCTCCTGTTTCAGTATGTCCTTTCTCCCCCCAAGTTAATGTGTCTACTGTATTGTTGATCACATCATCTCTTAAAGTTCAAATTCTCACGTTACCATTCATTCCTTTTTCAATTTCCCTCTTTCCATCTCAAACAACAAACATTTCTCCAATAATTCATGGCCAAACATTAAACTATGTGTAATGTTCTATGTGCTAGGATTACAAACAAGATCTTGGCACTCAGCGCTTATATTCCAGAGGATAAGATTGATAATAAAAAAGAAATAATTGAAAATGAGAGCAGATTGAGGCTAACAAAGAAAATACCATGAGGAGTTGGACAAAAAAGAATGAGAGGGTGAATCTGCTTAGATTGTTTTGTCAAGTCCTCACTGGGGAGGTAACATTTAGTGATCAAGAGGAAACCATTATGTGAAAACCTGGATGCAAAGCAATTTAAGACAGAAAAAACAAAATATGACAAGGGGTGGAGGGCAGGATAAGTACAACTACCTTGGTGTGCTTAATTAAATGAGAAGGACCTTATGATTAACATAATGAGCCTAGCAGGCAGTGGCACAAAAATGAAGTCTGAGTGGTAGGCACGCACCAGATTATACAGGTTGTGGGAAAGGAGTTCGGATTTTATTCTACATGCAAAAGAAAGCCATGGGAGGCTCTTAAACAGGGAATGATGTTGCCTGATTATTTTCAAACCTCAAATACACAACATTACTACTGTCTTTAAGAGAATTCATGTGATCAGTGTGAAATTATTACTAATACTTTCTAACAAGTTAAAGTTATAAAAATTTAATAAATTGTCTCAACATATGTAATGCTCTATCAAACACATATTGGCTTTAAAATTTACTAAAGTGGGGCCTCCCCGGTGGCGCAGCGGTTGAGCGCTGGGTTGTAAAGCTGCCAGCAGCCTCTTCAGCGCCGGTTCAATCCCCGGCTGCTCCCCGGCCACCAGAGGAGGGTCCCACATGGCGCGCAGACCTCTCCTGCCGCCCTCTCCTGCCGCCCGCTGCTCCCCTCAGCAGTGTACTTCGGTCCTTCTGCCTGCTCTGCTCCCCGCTCTGGCTCTGGTGGATTCTCTCACCCTCCCGCGCTTCTGACTGTACCCAGTGCTTGTATAAATAAATAAAAACAAATCTTTAAAAAAAAAAAAAGTCCATTAAAAAAAAAATAAATAAAATAAAATAAAATTTACTAAAGTGGAGAACAAGTGTGGTTAACAAATTGGATAAACCACCTTTTCCTATTGATTTCCTTTATTGAGATAGCTTAGAAATCACCATCAACTTTTTCCCTTTTCCCAGACTGTGAACTTCTATTCCAAAAACTCACCTCGACAAGCTTCTTCAAAATCTTGGGTTATGTCCACCCATGTGGTATTGCTCTTTTCCATTTTTTCTGGTATACTGAGTTCCCATCCCGAATCATCATCTTCTACAGAAGCTTTCATAACCATTATGCCTATAAAATTAAAACTGGTGTAAAAGAGAGGATGCAGTTTTGAGGACAAGCGTATTTGCCAACTACGTGAGCCTGTTTTTTAAAGTACTGGATGAAAGTCTTACTAAATAAACTATACAAGCAGAGCTCTTCTGGACTCGAGAACGGTACCGGAAAAAATGAACTAAATGCACGTAAACTAACACAACTGGTGCTCGTTTACTAATAGCCCATTCCCTAGCCGGGTTCATAAAAAGTCTCCCTTTCACTATTTAAGAAGAAAATTAAGAAAATTAAGAAAACATGCCACCTCTGCTAAAAGCACTCCAGTTCCTAACTTTCAACACAGGTCAAAAAAGACCAAGGCACTCTTCAGGGTGCCCTCGCGAAGCCCAGGACCCCAAGCGGCAACTGCTCAAGCCAAGGTGGTCCCCTCGCCAGCTTGGGGCTCAGCTGGCCAGTCTCCCCCTCCCCTCCCCCCACCCCGAGGCGCGAACCCAGCAAAGCCCGGCCCCCCCGCCGGGGCGCACCTGAGGCGGGAATCCGCCCCACCTGGGTCCGGCTAGGCGGCCCCGGCCCCCAGGGCGCGGAAGCCAGGACGGAGCTGTCGTCGCGCGGGAGGGCGGGCGCACCTGGCGCCGGGCTGTCGCCCCGGTACCACCGGGCCAGGCCGGAGCCTCGGCGGGCGGCGGGCACGGAGGATCCCGCGGCTCCTAGCCGAAGCGCGGCGGGAGGGCCGGGGCCGCAGGGTGACCTAGCGTCCGCAGGGTCCGCCTCACGCGCGGGGGGCTGCGGCTCTCGGACACGGAGAGCGCGAGTCGCAATGGCTCCACAGACGCGGTCCCTACCTACTTTCCCCCGGGCCACTGGCGCCGTCACGCACCGTCGGGACCGCAGAAATAACGACGCCGCCTCAGCTGCCGCCGCCCCCTCCCCTCACTGCCCAGCCCGACTGGCCGCGTGCGCGCATGCGTACGCCCGAGGCGCGCGACCCCGCCCCCTCTCCCTGGCTCCTGGGGACTTCGCGCTCCCCGGCCACACCCCCTTCCCTTGCCACCGCCACCTCTCGGCTGATGGCGGCCGTCTTCTCTTCTCGCGGGATTAGGTCAAAGAGCGTTACCGGAAACTACCTTTCTTCCCCGGCCTCCGGCTAGTTAGTGGGAGGATCCTGGAAAGGGGCGGGGCCTGGGACCGGCTGAGTTCGCTCCGCCCCGCGCGGTACCCTGGGAAATTCTTAGAAAGGCGATGCCAAGGCGGAAGGAAGTAATGGAAGTATGAGTAGACCATAGGGGAGGCGGGCGGGAATGGCGAGCGCTGCTCTGAGCCCCCATCGAGCTGGTACATACATTTTTTAGATAGGGCCTGGGAGCTTGGTGCTGGAAAATAGGAACCAACTATCTGCAGGGTCAAGCCAGCCATTTTCTTCCAGACTTAACATGTTCTAGATTTTTCTTTAAAAGTATTAATAAAGGGCCTCCCTGGTGGCACAGGCGGTTGAGCGAAGCGCTGTGAAGCTGTCAGCGCAGGTGCCATCCCTGCAGGCGGGGGGGGGGGGGGATACCCACATGGCATGGTAGACCTCTCTTGTCTCGCCCGCCGCTCCCCTCAGCGTATTTCTGTCAGTCGGTCTGCCTGTTCTGTTCCCCGCTCTGTCTCTGGTGAATCCTCTCACCCTCCTGCACATCTGGCCTGTACCCCAGTTCTTGTATGCATAAATAAATCTTTAAAAGCATTAGTAAGGCGATCCGTTTTAAAGTGGGGTACACTGGCAGTGTAAGAAATGCATCTTAAATACCTGTAAAATGGCCAAAATTTGAGACACTATCAAATGTTGAAAAACACATGGTGCAACTGAACTCATGAAGTAGAGGGTGTGGAATGGTGGGGAGCAGCAACAGGCCAGGCCAGTCACCAGTCACCCAGTGAACAGTGTAGGAGGACTGGAAAGATATGATAGATATCAGAAGAGACTGCATTTTTCTATAATTATCCTGTTTATTCCCACTTTGTTCTAATTTACACAGTTTCACTTTGGCTTTATGTGCCCATCAGCAATTATCTTCTTTCAAACATATTAGGACATTTCATAGATTTATGAGCAGCCCTTATCGCCAGGTAAACTCTGGAGTGATGCAAGATCAAATGTGTATGCTGAGCTCTGGAGGATACAGATTGCCTAAAAGAAGGCAATAAAATCTTCGAAGAGTACTTAAAAATGTTACCTAGCCCAAGTTGCCACTCATAAGCCAAACTGGAGAAACAGGAGTTGGGGTTAGGAAGATAAGATTTCATTCCAAAAACCGGTATTTCTGGGAGACGGCAGGTTCAGGCTCTTCAAAAACTATCTCCTTTCTTGGGGCTTAGTGTAGGGTTTGTATAAAAAAATCAGCAAAAAAACCCTGAGTTTTGGTAAATACCTGCCTCAGTCTTGCTGAGCCATATTGGCACCACCAGCTGTCTAGTTCTTGTCTCTTTAATTCATCTGTGAACCATGATAGCTGGCAGGAGAATTCTGGAGGTTTTTAGTACTTTAAAGGTTATGTAATTATAAAAATTAAAAGTTATATATGGCAGCCCTGAACAAATGTACAGTGACCAATCTGACCACTTTACTGGACAGGAAGTACAGAAATGGGCTAAAGCACATGATATTAAATGGACTTTTCACTTGCCATACAACTCCACCACTGTAGGGTTAATGGAGAGGAAGAATAGGCAAATAAAAGACATTTGGAAGCAGACTTCAGCAGATCATTCTCATTGGGGTTAGATGAAACTTTATAGTAAAATCAGAAGAAATCTCTAAACACTGGTATTATTAAGTGGAAATATATAAAATGAAATTAATACTAAGAATATGATTTATTCAGGGGCTTCCCTGGTGGCGCAAGGGGTTAAGACGCAACCTATGAAGCACTTCGAAGCCACTGTTTGATCCCCGGCCAGGAAGCTGCCCACATGGCGCTGCAGACCTGTCCTGTCTTGCCCACTGCTCTCCTCAGCAGTGTAATTCAGTCAGTCTGCCTGTTCTGTTCCTCACTCTGTCTCTGGTGAATCCTCTCATCCACCACACCTCTGGCCTGTACCCCCCCCCCCACCAGTACTTGCATGCATAAATAAATAAAATCTTTAAAAAAAAATGCACTGGCATATATGTAGAGAAAAAACAAACTGTGATGAGTAACTTTTCCAGTACTGCTCTAATTTTTTTTCCTTAGGGACATTTAAGAGCTAGGATTAGGGCCTCCCCGGTGTTACAGCAGGTTGAGAGCAGTGCTGTGAAGCTGTCTGCAGCCTCTGCAGAACGGGTTCGATTCCCAGCTGGCCAGGGAGATACCCACATGGCGCTGCAGACCTCTCCTGTCTCACCTGCTGCTCCCCTTAACAGTGTATTTCAGTCTGTCTGCCTGTTCTGCTCCCTACTCTGTCTCTGGTGAATCCTCTCACCCTTCCTCACCTCTAGCCTGTACCCCAGTTCTTGTATAAAAATAAATAAATCTTAAAGAAAAAAAGAACTAAGATTAGCCAGCAAGAAAATCCAAATCAAAACCACAATGAAATACCACTTCACACAATAAAGGAGAGAGACAATAACAAGTATTGGCAGAATGTGGAAAAAATTGGTGCCTTCACACATTGCTGATGGGAATGTAAAATAGTACTGCTGCTTGGGAAACATTCTAGCAGTTTTTCAAAAGGCTAACCATGAAGTGACCATATGATTCAACAGTTATGCTCCTAGATAGGTACCTAAAAGAAATGAAAGCTTATGTTCCCACAGAAATGTGATCATGAATGTTTGTAACACCTTTATTCATAATAACTAAAAAGGGATAACAGCCCAAATGTTCATTAAGTGACGAAGTGTAATATATCCATGCAATGTAATATTATTTAGCCATCAAGGGAAATGAAATAATGATACATGCTAAAACATGAATAGACCTTGAAAATATTAGGCTAAATGGAAGTAGTCAGTAATAGAGACTACATCTTATGTGCTTTGCAACCATCCCAGGACAGGTAGGTTCACTGTTGCTTCCAGTGATTTGAAGGAGAATTTTGAAGCCCTTGTCATAATTTTCACAGGTTTTTTTTTTTAAACTTTTTTTTTTTTAAAGATTTATTTATTTATTTATACAAGCACTGGGCACAGTCAGAAGCGCGGGAGGGTGAGAGAATTCACCAAAGCCAGAGCGGGGAGCAGAGCAGGCAGAAGGACCAAAGTACACTGCTGAGGGGAGTAGCGGGCTGCAGGAGAGGTCTGCGCGCCATGTGGGACCCTCCTCCAGTGGCCAGGGAGCAGCGGGGATCGAACCGGTGCTGCAGAGGCTGCGGGCAGCTTCGCAACACAGCACTCAACCGCTGTGCCACGGGGGAGGCCCAATTTTCACAGGTTTTAATGGTAAGCAGGGGAAATAAGCTGGAAGGGAGACAGCAACTGCAAATCTCTATGTGCTATTTTCTCTGGGCTTTCTCTTCAGGGTTTTCTTGTGGTCTTGTCCTCTCATAGCCCTTCTGTGGTAGCGGTCTCTGAGCAACACTGCCCTTATATCCCTGACCTCTAGGCTCAGGTGTGCACACTTGCACACGCATGCACCCATGCTCCGGTGTCCATAGTTAGGCATGCGTGCCCCACACCCACTTACCCTCTAACAAAAATCAAGGCCACAGGTGATAGCCAGAGGCCAATGGCATAAAAGCCTGACTACATTTACCCTACATTATATGACTTCATTTAAATGAAATGTCCCAAATAGGCAAATCTATAAAGATAGGAAGTAGATTAGTGGTTGTGTAGGGCCAAGGGAGAGAGAGTTAGGGGTGATGGCTAAGGGTACAGGGCTTCTTTTTTGAGATCATTAAAATGTTCTACAGTTGTTTGTAGTGGTGGTTGCTCTGACTATACTAAAAGCCATTGATTGTATACTTTAAATGGGTGAAATATATGGCATGTGAGTTATAACTTAATAAAAGGAATATTGGGGCTTACAACTGTAATTTAGATAACATTTTAGTTTCTAGAAATTTAGGCATGTTCTAGAATCAGAGCTTCAACCTTGGTTGCATATTGGAAACACTCAGGGATATTTAAATATTCACTTTCAGGCTTCTCCTTAAGAGATTTTGTTTTAATTGGGCTGCAGCATGATTAAGATAATATTTCTAGAAACCCTCCAGGTGATTCTGATGTGCAACCAAGCTTCAGAGTCACTACTTTAGAGAAAAAATGGCAAAAAATGTGAATTAGGGGTGAGTCTTGGGCTTATAGCCACAGAATATGGCATCAACAATAAAAAAAACCCATACGTTCCACAATGTTCACAGTAGCATTATTTACCATAGGTAGGACATGGAAGCAGCCAAACTGAACATTGCTGAAAACTGGATCAAGAAGATGTGGTATAGCGGTGACACTAGGGATTAAGACATAGCACTATGAAGCTATCTGCAGCCACTGCAGATAGCTGTAGATACCTTAGCCATGTAATATTTACATATAAAATTAACCGTCCGTAGAGGCAGGAATGGTCACGGAGCAGGTTTTCTATGATCCAGCAGACCGGGTATAGGAGAAGTCAGAGTCCTCAGTGGCTCAGGACCGCAGTCCTCAGGACCTCAGTCCTCAGTGGCTCAGGACCGCAAGGATCCATCATCTATCCTGATGGCAGGAGGGCAGAAAAGCCTGACATTTTTCCTTACCCTACACCATCATAGAGATGTTTGATCTTAAGCCCCATCTGCCACTTTAAAGAAAAAAAAAGATTTATTTTATTTATGCATATAAGAGCTGGAGTATAGGCCAGAGTTGCGGGAGGTGAGAGGATCACCAGAGACAGAGTGGGGAGCTTACTGAAACACACTGCTGAGGGGAGCACAGTTGAGACAGGAGAGGTCTGCTGCACCGTGTTGGTTACCTCCCTGGCTAGGGATCGAAGTAGTGCTG